ATATATATTCTCAAGTATCACCCCGCAGTGTAGCTTGTTCAAGCACATGACCTAGAAATTCAACAAACTTAAAATGACATCCCAGGTTAGACTAGATGGGGTAGCACCACACACCCCTCTCCACGTAATCTTCTTACGTTCCAAAGAAAATCTATATCCCTTCAAAACTTGGCTCTCAAACCTTCATGTGACCCAGAGCAAAACATCCAAAGAATATTTCCATATATAAAAGAGATCGGCTGAAAGGGATTTACACTGGTAGATTATATTTTAGCTGGTTGTTTTTGTTTGCTTTTTTTAAAAAATGGAAACTCAGTATTGGTTGCAGTTAAGCTGACTTCAGGATTATACACCTAGAATAATTTTGAAGATTAACATTTTTAAAAAAAGATCTTTTACACTCCTTTCAAAACTGCCTGGGAAAAGAAAATAAACGCAGGTGATGTGCCGATCCAATTTCCCCATACCACTGAGAACTGTCGAAAATTATACTATACAGAAAATAGTTTTCCATAAAAAGAATTTTGTATAAATTTGAGCATTCGGTTGCGTATGAAAACAAGACGCCATGTGCTGTTCTATTTGAATCCCTCCTAGTCAGATTTATGTGAAGAACTCTGCAGGGAAATAAGAAGAAGAAACTGCATTTGATTTAGAGCTGCTAGCACTAGTGGGCGCCTTTCACTTCTGTGGGAAATTCTGTCATCACAGTGGACCCCACAGTTTCAGTGCATTATGGGAAGGGGGCTCAAGATGGAGGGCGAGGGGTGGGAGGGAAAGGAAAAGGGATTCAGATGAGGTATGTAAACACACCAACTCCCCAGAGTAAGTGTATTCCTTAAGTCTCATAAACATGTGGTACTAAAAATAAATTTTAAAATAAGAGGAAAAAAACGAAATGAGCAGCTTCAAACATAGAATTTCTAGATTCCAAAATTAGCTTGGGACCTACGGGGTCCCTTATGCAAGATACTCCATGAAGCTTCCAGTTTTTCACCTGTACCATGTAAATGTGATCTTGGTTATCCCTGCAGAGTGATTTCCAGGATTAATTCAGATACTGCATGGAGAGGAACGTCATGCACATCCCATGAAGTCTCTAAGTGCTATGAACTATTTCAGTGAGAGCACTGCAGACATTTGGAGGGTTGAGCCATTTTTTAGGACAAGGAGAGAAATCAGAGCTAGCAACTGGGATTGACAGTGTGCCTAACGAAGCACTCGGACACTGTGTCTTCGGCGATTTTCCAACAGAAAAATTACAGGTAGAAAGTTCACAGAGGCAGGAGACAGGATGCTGAGCAGGAGTCAGGGCTCTGCTGAGAGAAGAGGTGATCAGCAAAAAATACAAACGACAGCAGAGGCTGAGAAGCCTCTATGAAATTAGAATGTCGTATGCTCCTGTACAATTTTGGCCCCTTATTAATTTCATGGCCTTGGTAATTTGGTGAATGTTCTACGCTCATTTCCTCATTCATAGAATTGAGTCATGACAGCCTGTGTTATAAACTCTCCCCAATGTCCCAGTGAAAGAACATTAAAATTGTCTAAGTGAAACACCCAAAGATATTTTACAAAAAGTAGCTCTTACTGTAAGAGATGCAAATCTGGTGGAAGGTACACAAAATGATAGGGCAGGATGGGAAAGAAGGTTTGAGGAATTAGTAAATGAAGAGTTGTTTTTTTTTTTTTTTTATAGTGACAGAAGACTAGGGCTACATCAGTGAGACGATGCAGAAATTATTAAAACCTTGGGAGAAAACATCTGGAACTCTTGATGGATAGGAAGACTGATTTGAATACTCTGAATATTACATATGTCTTAAGAATAAAAACTTAATGAAATGTAATAGCTGTTCAAGGTCATGGCAGAGTATGTCTGGCTGTTCACCCACTTGACTCCTTTGGCGCCTCCATGGTCCTAGGCCCCCGCAGCCTCCCCCAGGCCAACTCTCACACCCAGGCCAGTTGGACTTCACACAAGTGAAAAATAAACTTAGATTATATTAAACCTCGAAAATGGAGAGACTGTAATAGTTGGATAAGTCATCTAAGTGAACCCACCCCTTTATTCTCAGCCTTCTTTTTTTTTTCCTGAAATGGCGTGGGTCATTTCCCCCATAGAAACATTTTAAATTTTGACCATATTTTCTTAAAGGGTAAAAAAGGCAAATTGTTCTTGGCATTTAATTAATTACTTATGGAAGCAATTTCATCCTCAAGAAAATCCTAAATAAATTAATATAAAAGCAATAATAAGGGTAACATTCAAGGGCCACTCTTAGTGAGAAATAGAATAGTATGAATCTATGTTGATCCAAACATCTTGAACAATGCTTGTAATTTTCCACATACAAGTTTTCATTTAAATCTTGATGTGATGGTTCATTTAATTCATTTGTGATCATTACACAAAATATTTGTTTCAAATCATTATGCTATATACCTCAAACACAGCACATTTTTCAATTAAATGTTTCTAAAATTCAATACATTGTTCACGTTTGTCAAGGAAAAAAAATCATAGGTTCAAGGTTTTTTTAATTGATCCATGCTATGAATAACAAAAGTGAATGCAATTTTTAATTCTTAATATTTATAAAGGGTGTTTAAAACTTTGTAATCAATCTCATGATAACTGAAGCCATTTTTCTGTTCCTCTTGAAAATTTTCTGGTCTGAAACATAAGATGAAAATCAAAATAATGATCACCGTTTTTACCTCTCTACTTCGTAAGTCTCAAGTTTCTTTCAGTGCTACGATCACAAGTGATTTTGCTTTAAAATACCCTTTTGATAATGGCAACACATACATCACTTTTAATACATTGGAAAGAGCAAGTGTTTGAGGTCTGCAAGACTTTTCTAAAATCACAGACATCATAGAAAATTACTTTTCTAATTAAAATAATAATATTAAGATGTACTCCCATTATGCAATAAATCAAATCCTTTGTTTTTCGTCTTCTTGAGTCATAGGAGCTGCATTTTACACATGGGAAAAATTAAGTTCAGAGGGCTGAAATGACCCTCCCCAAGGGTCACACTGTGAGTAGACACAATGCTAGAGCACATAGTTGAACCCTTACTTCAACAATGGCGGAATTTAGAACCTGCTTGATTGAATAGTCCCAGTGAATGCTACTAGAAAAATGTTAAATTAGTATTAAATCTAGAATGAGAACCAAGACCTACGGGTCAGTACCAAACATTAACTTGGGCCTTTGCTCTTTGCCTATTCTTATCACAAAAGCATCTTAAAAGAGCTTCTATCAGGAGTTCTAAGGCTCTGGTGGGGCATGCTTCTAAGACATGCTTTCTAGACAGCAAAGGAAAGAATGGCACAGTTCACTGGGCACCCTTTCGTCAATTATAAGCAATTTTAACTTTCCCTCAAATCTATAATTATAGGATTATTGCAAATTCAATATGTAGGTTTCTGATTTTGAAGCATGTATGCATGTCATTGTGATAATACCAGACCCAAAGCAAAACAAATCCAAAGGCATATTTTAAAAATATTTAAGATCCTACCTCTTAATTTTTGTACAAGAACTCCAAACACTACAGAAATAATTCTTAGCATAGAAAGTTTCAGGATAAAGAGACTTTGAAACAGATGAAAGCCATCTTCTCTTGTCAACTCTGTTGCCTAAAACATCCACTGGTGTTAAAAAATAAATAAACTCAAATGTTTCAGAGAAGCATTGCCAGGTAACTCTCCCATAGTCAGTGACTTCCAAAAATACTATTCTCACTCCAAACCAGTGATTGAATTCTTGTCTTCTCGCTCCCAACATCAGATACTAGTGGTTCTTTTTCTTTTTCTAGTTCTTTGCTGAGAAAACAACACATTGCTTCATTGCCTTACATTTAGACTTTTCTCGGATTGGAGTACAATAAATCCCCCACTTATGAATGAGTTCTTTCCCAGGTTAAAGTTCACAAATAGGATTCATTTGTAATCCAGACAAAGGGACTCTTATATACAGTACATCTGTGAGTCTTATACAGTACACCTGAGAAAGTTCACAGCTCAAATATTCATAAGGTGGGGACTTACTCTAAATCCTGAAAAACACAGCCAAGTCCTCCTCAGAAGCTGCAAAATGCCCTGGAAAGCCCCTCATAGTGCCTTAATTTTTAGTTAAAATTGGGAGCTGAAAGACAACAGAGATTGGCCTATGAGGGAGTCATGTCTTGATAAGTCCCTTGTATACTGAAGATACTGCAAGTCAAAAATACACATCATGTACCAAACATATTGTACTTCCTGACTTCATGACACAGCACACGGTACAGTATCAGTTGTTTCCCCTCTTGATTGCCTTGCTGACCAGGAACCATGGCTGTCTGCTGCCACCCAGAATCTCCAGAGAGTGTACCTTATAACGTATCTCTTGCCTGGGGAAAATTACAATCCACAATTCAGAGTAGCTTCAGTAGCATCACTTTCACACAATCATGAAGTCAAAAAAACCATAAATGAAACCATTATAAGCTGAGGACCATCTGTAATTGAAATCAATCACCCATCTCTTTATTTTTTTCCTCCAAACAGATGAGGAGATCATGATCTAGAGAGTTTTAAAGTTTTGCTAAAATCACACATCTTATTGCAGGTAAGCGAAGAGTCCAATTTGGATCTTAACCTGCTTTTCTGAGTTCTCTACAGCGCTCTAACCACCCAGCTTCCCAGCAAAGTCTCCACAACTCCAGCACCTGGAGAAGAAAAAAGGGTGAAGGTGGTTGCAAGGTCAAGTCTTCAGAGATCTAGCTACAAGGTGGGCAGTACCCATCTCCTTGATCTGTCCTACCATGCCTACTGCAGTCTACAGTTGCAAGCGGACAGAGACTTGGTCGCTTTGCCAGTAGAAGGGCCAACAGATCATGGCTGGAATAGAGATGAGGCTCAGGAGAGGCTCCTGGCAGCTCCAGCACACCTTCAAGAAACCAACAAAGACACGTGCTTCAGGGCATCACCCAGGCCCTCAGAATGTCAGGTCTTGTGTCTCAAAAGAGTATAAATTGGGGTTGGGTGGGGGACAGTTTCTGGGCACGTTTCCCAACAACATCAGGAGTGTTTGGAACCAAGGGGGGAGGACACATGCTTTTGTTATATTTTTCTCTTTTCAAGGGGTCAAAAGCCAACAATCTGACACTTGTAAAAGTGTCAGCCCAAAGGAGGAAGGCCTGATAGCTCACCCAGCGTGTACCAGAAACTGAGAGTCAACACCACACTTTCTTTCTCTTCCTTCCAGCAGCCTCTGTTGCTCATGGCAGATTTAGTGGTGTGATTTACAGCTCTGAGAGACCTTTGTCAGGGCCAGTAAAATGACAAACAATAAATATATGGAGCAGTATGTTAACAGCCTCCACACAATACCTTGTCAGTTACAGCTTGATAGCGATACATTTTAATTTTGTCTTTCATAAAAATCTTGGCATGTATGCCTCATTTGAACACAGGCTTCCAAGTCAAGTGTGTCATCCAAGCATGCAGTTTATCACCCTCTATATTTTCTGTCCTTTTCATTTAATGTCATTCCTATGGCAACAGACATTGCCCTGGAAATCATTTTCAGAACAGCTTATTTGTTGAAAAGGACTGGATGAGGCTACACTATGTGTTTGGCTGGGAAGAATGTCAGAGTGTGAATATGGCTGAGCTACAGTAATCATATTCTTTGAAGACTTCGTGTAATCAGATACTTGAAGGAGGCATATCATGGGGTGGGACCTGACATCCCTACCCCATCTCCAGCTTTTTATGGTTTTGTATTTCATAAGAATAAAAGTAAGAGAAGCAAATTTGCAGTTCACTTCCCATGAAGGGATGTGCACTTGTTTCTAATATGGCACTGTCTGTCTTTCTGTGCAGTAGGGTAGACTGGCAGGTTGTAACTCTAGTAATATTGAGCTGCTGTTACTCTGAAATTGATTATAAAAACCCAGATTTAAATAGTCTTTGTGACTAAAGAAGCAGCTGCACAGAAAATAATTATTCTGGCTTTAATTCACTAAAGGGACCCCCAAAAATTCTCATAACCTTATGGGAGATACACCCCTAACAAACATTGTCTCAATATGTTGTAATACATTCATCACATTGGTTATCATTGATGTTTAAGCTCCAAATGTTATTATAAAATGTTTCCACTGGCTAAGTTCTAATTGTGTTATTGTGATATGTCTATATGGGTCATCTTCAAATTAATTTTTGTGGCATAAACAAAAAAGTGTTATTAGAAAGATGCTTTTGACAGCAAACTACACTGAAGGGCATGAACTTTTATATAATTGTGATACTACTGCTACTTTTCTGTTGTACAAAATATATTCATGCCCACTAATTCTATGGGTCTTCCAACATATTGTTTATGGTAATAACCTTTGGATTAAAAAAAAACCATATTTGCTTATCCAACATTTAGTCAACCCATCTTTAATGAGCATCTACTATATCATGGGTATTGTGTTGAAAAAGTCATAGTGAAAAAAAATGAAATCTCTGCACCCCTGGGGTTTAGACTAGTGAGGAAGACACATATTTAAAAAGCTAACTAAAATATTGTCTAAGCCACCTTCCTAGAAACAGGGTCTGAGCTGAGAGTTTTGGGGTGACTTATTGAAGACTCAAAAAATAGTTCTTACAGGGGGCTTATCAGGCAGTGTAGATAGCAGAACCACATGAAGAGTGACCCTAAGCCAAGCAGAGACGTGGGACTCTGCCTGATCCCAGGGGGAGCCCTGGACCGTGAATGGCCATCACGTGCTGCTTCACCTGTGACACGGCACTGCGACTGTGCTATCTGTCTTTGGTTTCGAGCTGCCTGTCTGGTCTCAGTTGTCACAGGCTCTTGCATAGTCACGCCTGGGCTAGATGTGCCTTTTACCATGAGTGACTCTTGGGAAAGGGTACAGATGTGGACCATTAGCCATCAAAACCCACAGCAGGGGCAAATCATCCAGGCAAGGAGACAGGCCAGGGCACATGTGTTAGTATACATAGTATTTTAAGTTAGCGAGAGTGCTATGAATGAAATGAAAGACGTGCTTAATATGAACTGGATCCACCACGCAGAACTTCTCTGACATCTGAACTGAGACCTGACTGACAAGCAGAATCGGCAATAAGTAGCCCTGAAACTATCTCTCTAAGCAAATGAAACAGCAAGGCAAATGCTCCTGGGTGGGACCTTTTTCTTAAGGTGACAAGATTATGGTTTTTGAGAAACAGAGAGAAGGCACAAGTGGCTGAGGGGCCATGAGCAATAGGTGGAGTGGTAGCGGATAAAGTTGAAAAGATAAGTAAGGGAGAAATCGTATAGGGCATGAGAAGGATGCTATTTAAAGGTCAGCCGAAAGCCTCCTATGCTATTAAACCAACCAGCATCTGACATAGTCTAGACATTCTACCCCACAGTCAACCCCTCCTAACAACCAATGTAGGGAGGACATGTTGTGCACATGAGGTGGTGCCTGTTTCCAGGAGGTGGCAGATCCAGCTGGACAAAATGGCTCACAACAGAAGCAGCACTCACATGAATGAACATGAATGTCAGCTACAAATACTGACAGTTACTGATTTAAGACAATGACTCTTGGTCCACGGAGGAGCCCACAAAACTTTCTTCACCTGGTTTACAGATAACAGAGTGACTTGTAGTTCTGATAGAAATCTGAAGACTTTTTATCATTATTTTCCCTATGTCAACTATTTCAGGAATATAGTTTCCCTAAATTAGAATCAACATGTTTTTCCATAGAGGTAATAGTCTATGTATTAGCCTCACGGAACCTTGTTACTCAAATTGTGGTTTGCAGGCCAGAAGGATTGCCATGACCTATGACCTTAGAAAAGCAGAACCACACGCCCCACCCCAGACCTATCGAAGCAGAATCTGCATTTTAACAAGATTCCCAGGTGATTTTAATGCCCATTAAAGTTTGATAAGCTCTGCTGCAGAACATTGTTTCTACAGTAAAATCTGTCCTGAGGTCGAATAACTCACTTATTAACAAAAAAGCACTTGTTACATACAACTCATGTGACAGCTAGCTTCTACTTAAAGGAAAGCATTAAACTTTGTGCTATTATTAGAAAAGAATAAAACATGCAAATCCTTTCCCCGGCATTATTGTGCGCATGGTCATCATAAGATACTTGGGATTCCAAAGAAATTCAAGTAAGACCCTGAATGCAAAGAGATTTGGAGAGGAAGGAGTGAGAAGTGCTGTGTGGATGCACAGATGGTTTCACAGTAAAGGAGAGAACAGAATCAATCTGAGGGTGTCTTCAAATAATATTTCTAGGGAACAAATCTTCCACAATGGGTGAAATTGAAAAATCCGCAACTTCACAAAAGCAATGAGAATGCCGGCAAAATTGTCCAAATCAATTTTTCCAGAAATCTAGAAATTAATCAAAGGCTTATAGTGATCCAAAGAGCATTTGTTCAAGAAAATACTAGTTCTCTAAGAGACCAATAGATATTATCCCAAAGAAGATGCAAGGGTCAATTGAGAAACATTAAACTAAATCCAGTTAGATGTGTTTCACTTCTTCAGGGTCTCTCAGAGTTTTTCACATGCTAACTATTCATTGTAGGGTAGGCAATTCTTCCAAAACTTAATTGACCACAGATCCTTTTCATGGTGAGAAATTTTGTAGATCTAAGTCTTGAGAAATACACCTTGGGAAATACAAGTTGTGATTGCGAGATGAGTGCCAAGAAAAGACCAAGAGCCCTAGATACTGGAAGAAGGGATGAGTTTAAGAAGGGAGTTGGTCATGGGTGAAACACTTGAGAGTTTGAATATTTTTATAGAATGTGGTTAGGAGAAAAGCTGGCCAAGAGGTAATCAAATGTTGGAATCTTGGAATGTTGAACACTTCTTAAAATAAAAGGCTAACTGATTTGACAGCATTAAAACTTAAAGTTCTCTAGAAGAAAAAAAATATTAAACCAAGTAAAAAGACAAGCCAAGCCAATGAGACGATATTTGAAATACACTAACTGGCAAAGATTAGTGCATAGAATACATAAAGAACAAGGAGTGCCTGAAATGGTGTAGTCCTATGATCCCAGCACTCAGAAGGCCAAGGCGTGACGGTTGCCAGGATTTCGAGGCCAGCCTGGACTACACAGTGAGACCTTGTCTCAAAATAATAACAACAACAACAACAATAATAATAGTAACAATAAAGAACAAGGACTAGTGGTTGACAATAAACAAAGAAGAAAACTTAAAAGATTAATATGCAAAAAGATGCCAAATCTCTAGAATTATCAGAAAAAAAAACATGTTAAATTGAATAAATCCAACAAAAATTTAATCTCTGAAAATAGTAAGTGCTAGTAAAGAAATAGGACATTACAATTTTCATATATTGCTGAGAGGGGTGAAAGAACTGTTTTTACTCACACTTCTGACACAAACTGTGCTTGATTTTTCTCACACCAAACAATATGCTGGTTGTCTGTACACCACCTGATTATGCTACGATTCAGTTCAGTTCTGATACTTTCCAGAGGTAGCATCAGATTCTCAGTCCTACAAAACTACCCTTACTTCCGATGCCCATTAGCGATACGGGGTAACCAGGCTACCCACACTTCTATCCAACCAGGCTGCAAAGATCAAATATGAAAAAAAATGTTTAAACTTGACCCAGGTATGTATAGATGAAGAGGTATTTGTAATATTATTCTCTGTCTTTCAGCACCTCAGTCCTGGACTGAAGATCGGACCCCTATTTTTGTACTGAACTACATCCCATTCCTTTTTAAAAATACATTTAATTTTGATACAGTGTCTTGCCAAGTCACTCAGACTGGGCCTGAAATTGCAATCCTCCTGCCTCGGCCTCCCAGAGTTCTGGGATTACAGCCATGTGCCACCATGCCTAGTTAATATTTTCTAAGACAACTCAGAGCAAAGATGCATTCTTAAATAAGGAATCACATTTAGTTTTCGAACAGAAAAGAGAAATATCTAGAAAGCCAGTACAAAAACTTCCTGGTGGTGCTGAAAGATTGAAAGGGGTATGCAATTAAACAAATCATAGATGCCAAGAGACAGGCATGGGACAGAGATTCTCCCCCAGAGCCTTCAGGAGCAAGCAGCCCTACCAACACATTGGCTTTTAAATTCTGCCCTCTAGAACTGTGGGAAAAACATTTCTGTTATTCAAGCCACCCCCTAAATTATCAAGGCATCCCAAGGTCATGAATCCAGCCTCATTGTGCTTTGTCCCTTATAACCTAGAGGTAACAGCAGAAGATTTGAGCCAGTTGTGAATCTTTAGGCTGCTTCAACCTTGTCCTATCTTTTCCCCAGACTTACACAACCCTTCAGGGTCAACCATTGTGTAAGGCTATGCCGCCAACATCACATGGCTTTCTCCTACTGTGTTTCTGTCTTCTCGAAGGACACTGGTCCTCTTGGATTAGGGGTCCCCTTATTCCAGTATGACCTGATCTTGACTAATTGAACTTGTCTTTCTTAGGAGGCAAATTTCACAGACATGGTCCCAGGGAGAAGTCAGTTATCCAGGATGGGCTAGAACACTGACTCATGCTATGTGTAGAAGCTGGGACCAGGCAGAAAGGGACTGTGGTCAAAAGTGACAATCACAGAGATTTCTGCTCCAGCCAATGCCTGAGTTGCCACCAGAGACTGAGAGAAATAAGGAGAAAGGCCCCTTCTCCTTTCCTCCTGGGCTTTGGTGTCCAGGTCGTGTCTCCTACTGGTCATACTTCTAGAAAGCAGCAGACAGGAGAGCCTGGGGAATTTCTGCACAAGTCACAGGCCTTTCTCCCTTGGGTTCAAAGCACAAGGCTCAAAGACAGAACATGTTCATTGCAATTGATCTAAACCTGCTGTAGCTTGAGTGAAACTGTCGAGCCAGCTGGAATAACTGGTCAGAATAAAAGGATGTTGCAATGGGAACCAAGAAATATCCAATAAAATAGAAGGCAACACATAGGATTTTTGCTCATGGATAAGTGGAGGAGAGGAAGAGATTAAATTAAAAAAAAAAAATTTGGGGACAGGAATTTAGCTCAGTGTCACCATGCCTGGCTCACAAGCATGAAGTCCTGAGTTTGTTTAGTTCCTGGTATTAGAAAAAAAAAAATACCCTGCCTCAAAAATAATTTTGATTTTAAACTTAAATCTATGCTGTGAAAGAACGAAGTTGGGGAGGAGAAATAGCCATAGGTCTGAAGTAACAGGAACTCAGGCATATTTTAAGTGACAAAGCTAACTGCTAACCAGGGAAAGTACACATAAATTATATCTATTCAATACTCTTTCCTTTGTGGAATAGACCTGTCTCATTTTGGGTGACCTCAGAGGGGTTCCACTGGCTAAGGGCAAGTGTGTGGCACCACCTATGAACCCTTAAATTGAACATATAGGAATAGGTTGCAACATAGATCTAACCAATGACAATGTCCCAGAGCTGACCAGAAAAACTCCTTAAGGAAGCAACAGAAGATTTTTATCTCCTAAAGATTTTTACATTAGTACCTCCCAATCCACTTGGTCTTCTTACAGTTACTTTAACTCTTACTCCCACGGAGAGGTCACCTCTGCCCCTTCCTCTTGAATCTGAGTGTCATTATGACTGTGATGGAAATTATGCTTTGTGAAGTCTAAGCTATGTCATACAAGACAACAAAATGCCCAGATGGGGATGTATGTGCATTCTTAGAACCAAGCCAGGATAGAACCCAGTTTCCCATCTTCCATGGCCCATTATGTTCTAGACTCATAGCAATGAGGCCAGTACCAAAAGCTTCTCCACCCTCTGAGGAAGCGTAGGGGCCTGTGGGGATACAGAGGGAACCAAAGATCTCAGCTGGTGGCCAGCAAAACCTTACCAGTTGTGTGAATGAACCATACTGAAAGTGAATCCTCTAGCCCTACATCAAGACACACCTTGAGGTCACATGGAACAGAAACTTCTTGTCCTCCTCTAATCTCTGCCCAGAATTGGTAAACATAAACAAAATTGATGATGGCTGTCATTCTACAACACCCGCTTTGGAGGAAATTGTCTTCTCAGCTCTAGATCCTGGATTCTCTTCAGTTTCATGCTCTTGCTCTTCAGCTCATTTTTATAAACTGGAATCTTGTTGGTTAGTTTAATCTCATCTAAATTAACCAAAGTTTAATTGTTCATTTTACTTGTAACCAAAAATCCTTAATGTACAGTCCTGGCAAAGAACAAGAGGCAAAACATCTGATCATGAGCCTGGAGACTTTTGTTCAGAAAAGAGTCTTTCACTTAGGAAAAAGTCTTTAAAGGAATTAAGGCCTTGACCATAGCTCAAAGTGAGGTTGGAGATGGATGGAGGGAAATTGATACAACCTATATCAAAAGCAGGTGGGAGTACTTCATACACACTGTCTCATTTGCCTGCACATCAGCAAGAAGAAGTAAGTCCTATCTGTAAGCACACACACCGCTTCACAAGAGGGAAAATGAGTTCGAAGAACAGGGATGGCTATTTAACATCACCCTGGAGCTAGACGCAACTCCTCTTCCAAAGTACGTGTTTCTGAACACGCCTGATGCATAGCCCAATAGATGATGCGGGACTTCGAGAGTAATGGATGAGAAGAAAATAAGGGAAAATGCACAGATGAATAATGCCCTGCTGTAACAACCCAATAGCAATATGGAGCCAGGAGTCCTTGTTTATACGAAAAGAGACAAAACAGACTTTAAAAGTCCTTAAGGCACAAGAGAAAGTATACTGGCCCTAGGATCATATGGATGGTTCCCCCTCAAAATCCCTTCTCCTCATTCCTAAATCAGGGATGCTAATATTCAAATCTGTCATAAGCTTTCAAGATGATATTGGATAGCATTTGGTAGATATCAAATTTTCACAAATAATTCTAACTATTAAAAATAATTATCGTAACTATATTAGTCACTCTCATCATTAAGACAAAGTACCCAATACCCACAACTTATAGGAGGAAAGATTTATTTTGGCTGATTCTTTTCCAAGGACTCAGTCCATGGCTGGCTGGCTCCGTGGCAGAAACAGCATGGGGGAAGGGCCCAGAGCAGGAAATGTGCTCATGCCATGACTGTTAGGAAGCCGAGCAAGAAGAGAAGCTCAGGACAAGAACACACCCTTCCAGGTCATGTTCCTAGGGCCCTGGCTCTTCCACTGGGGACCTACCTCTAGTCACGAGATTTGGGGGATTCATTTTAGGTCTATGAAATAACTACAACGTCCCCGGCTGCCTGGATAGAGACTCAGAAAAGGTGGAGGGAAACAAGAAAATTAAAAAAGATAAAAAAAACTTAGTAAAATGGGAGAAAGGGACAAGGAAACAGGAAATTACTCCAGTGGGGAGAGAACAAGAGGTCAAGAATAAAGAAAATCAAGTCTCACATTGAAGAGTTTTTAAGTCTCCATGCAGACAGCTGTTCAACAACCTGGACCACCTCCTGGTGCCACTGTCCTGCACAAAAGACTCCAGCCACATGGTATCAAGGCCTGTGACCATGCAAATAATCATTCTCAGAGGTTGGAAACATTTGAAACTCTGGTGAGACGAGCTCCCAAACCATCAGGACCCCCTTTGCAAAGACAAAACACAGCCAGCCCACCCCTAAGGGAATCCCCTTCTTCCATGACACAGCCCAGTACCAGTGATTCACTGAAACCTGTCACTCAGGGACTCAGGCTTCCACAATGATATCCGTGCAGTCCTCTGATGCTCCTTAGAGGGAACTGGGTAAGATACTGAGGGATGGGATGGAAGGACGCCAGGCCAGAGCAGTGAATATCAACACTGTTTCCATTTCTGCCCAGACCATCTATGAAAGAAACTTGCTTTTGAGCCCTATCACCCATACACAGGGCATGCAACAGGTGAAAGGAATTACTGCAATTTTCCAAAGTCACTGAGAGTGTGGTCAGCCTTCCTAGGACTCTTTATAAGAAGTTTCTAGACAAGGAACAGAGATGGATTAAAAATTTTCTAGAATGGGAAGTGCATCTATGTTGAGACAATGCATACGAGGTATTATTCTGGAGAAAGCTTGTTCTTTGGTTCCTTAACATCTTTCTGTCCTCCGTAGCTTTACTGAAGATTCCTCCCCTTTCACCCTACGGCTCACCATAGCCACATTAGGGTGAAACAGCTTTCTGCGAAGAAAATACAGTTTGCAATGTTTGGCATATTAATGCAGAGCATATGGTCAAAAATACTGTTTGCTATAGCTTGTGGGCTTATGATTTTTAATTTAAAATAGATTTTCCTAAATAAAAATAGACTTTATACAGATGGCCATTAAAAGCAACCCGTTTTTGCTGGTCCGCATTGTTAAAGTATAGCGTTTTTCAGGCGTTTTATAGCACCTTGGCCCTTTGGCAGGGATAGAGCATTTCCTGAAGATGGAGGCTTGCCACGAGAACAAGATGGTCAGGATGCAATTGTCACCAGTCCTATCCTGAGGGCCATTTTTACTTCTAAACGTTGATAGTCTTTCATAGAGAAATTTTCCTTCTGGAATCCTCAAGTTTGATTTGGATCTGAGAAAGTACAACTCTTGAGATTAACGGCTGAAGTGATGGCAGAAAATGCTTTATGATGTCATTTCTCATTAAATATGAACAGATTGTTTCCACAGCAAATATCTGGTAAGCACAAGGCCAGGTGTTTGCTTACTTTCCATGTCTCTTTTTAGTGGGAGTGAGAGTATGGCACTCGCGCTCTCTCCAGCACGCTGTCTCTCTGTCTCTCTCTCTCTGTCTCTCTCTGTCTCTCTCTCTCTCTCTCTCTCTCTCTCTCTCTCTCTCTCTCTCTCTCTCTCACACACACACACACACACACACACAATTAGATAATGACAGGAATCAGGATAGATATTTTAAAGTCTGATATTTTGTAGTCTGATATTTTGAAGGTATTGATGCTCTGATGCCTAAGTGAAACAGAACCACCTCATGCAGCGAGCCTGCCTGGTCAGCAGCGGTCGTGCTTGTCTAATGGAGGTTAGACCGAAGACTCAAAAAACAAAAATAACTTTTGATTTATTTAATTAGGGACCATACCATGAATTGTGTCAACCCAATTTGTTTTCTTCAGTCGATTTATTTTAGAACTTCTGAAAGGTTAGGGGTATAGCTCAGTGGTAGAAAGCATGCTTAGCATGCTCCAGATTTTGAGTTTGATGCCAAGTATTGCAAAAAAAAAAAAATTAAAATAATACACAAACAAAAAAGAACACTTTGTAAGGTGGCTACAGACATAACAGGCACAGCTCACTGTTTAATCATAGAAAACGCAATAAAAATGACGGGGAGAGGAAGCAGTGGCTTTAACTTACAGGCTACTGTTCAGAGTGGGAACATTCTTAAGAGCCCTGTTTTACCTCTTCCATCCTCCCTGTTGCTACCACCATCAGCCAAATCTGTAGCTGGCATGTGATCAGAAGAGAAAACACACCTCTGGGTCGAATGTGAATTCATTCTTATGATGCAATGTCAGCTGCTAAAGACTTTCGTTGGAAAAGCTGATACTTGAGAAATGGTTTCATATTAGTTCAGCATAGAAAAGAAAGCTTATAGAAGTTTCTAGATTGTCAGTAATCCTTTCTTATGAGTGGCCAAAGAGAAACAGCCCACTTCTTGATCTGAGGCTCAGCGAAATGTTGGGGTACAAACACAATTGTTCCAAATGCACTCCTGTCTGTAATTAGGAATGCATCAAGCATGGCATAGTTTGGTTTTCTACTTCAGTAACCTTTAACAACACTTGTAATCAGGTGGGTTTTGAAAGCAGGGGCCACTGTGATGGGAATGAGCTACATTACACATAGCCCATGTGCTGCTGCTAGAGAGACATTAAGTGTCGCCTAAGCCCCGACGCTTGTTTCTGAGGCTTTGTTTGCAGGGCTAGAAATGGAGTTTAGGTGAATGAACAAGAGATCCTGCAATCTCATGGGACAAGTTTATGGGGAAGCTGTCTCCTTTTTCCCTGGAGAGAGGGAATCAAGTTTTCAAGTGTCTAGAAGATATCAACCCTATATTGGGGGAACTTGTGGGAACAATTATTTGCCTGGTCTGCACCGGAATGTGGGGTGCTTAAAAAAGCATAACATGCCAGAGCTTGAAAGCATTGGAATATATACCTAGCAGCATTAACAAAAATGGAAGGCACTTCTGCTGAAGCAAGGCCAGACCCCTACTGAGGACTTTGCAATTCAACTCCAGAAAATTCTTCCCAGGGGTTGTCAATTAGCACATGCTGGAGTGAGCAGAAAGGTAAATATTGATTTGCAAAGTTCCTATCTCAGTGGTGTCTCTGAATGAATGAAATCAAGGTTGATGCCTCTTTACTAGGTATTAAAGAAAAAGAAGAGTATGAAGGTATTTTTCTCCTCTAAAATGATTATCTTTTCTGTTCCTAAAACAATACATTTAGGGAAACATATGCTTCTCGAGACCACAAAGCTAAGTGAAATAAATCAGGCATAGAAGGTTAAATATTGCATGGGGTCTCTTCTTTGTGAAACCTAAAGTATAAATAATTTAAAAAGCAAAATGGAAGATAAATGACAGGAAACAAGGAGGAAGACTTTGT